ATATTTTATATTTAAGTTTTTGTGAACCTATTATTTTATAAAATAATGAAAAAAACATAATTTAACATATTTATTTTAATATAAGATATTTAAAACATATTACTTGTAAAAAATATAGTACTCATATGAAATAGAAAATTCCATTCCTAAACTTAAATTCTAAATGCAATCTTTTGATCAAAACATATTGCACATAAGATTTAATTACTGTAATATTAAAAGTAATTTTTGCAACATAACGACTTTTGTTTTATAAATGTTCATAGAATGATAGTGGGCTATCTTACCCAAAATATGAATAAAAGACGGCCATAGTATTTATAAACAAATAGTGAAAACGGAAATAAAAATGCATATTATATTTCAATATACATACATACTTCAAGTATCTAACGTTGATTGCGACAGCTTAACTGTAATTTATTCGACATTACAGCAAGTTTCAGTGGACACATGAGAAATTTTACAGGCAGTAATAATAATAAATAATAATAATAATAATATAACATAATATTCATAATTTTGCTATTTCGAAAAATATATGCACGTACACTATGATAAATATCGATTATCTTTGTGACTGATTGCACAAATTACAACGTTTTGCAATTATTAGAGAAATTACAGCCTATGGCCATCTTTTCCGTATAACTATAATATCCGAGTTTATCTTATGATAAAAATTACCTATCTAGTTCATCTTGATGATTTATATAAATCATCAAACGATCAAAAGCGTTACGTCGACATACTGAGGGACCAAGTTTACAGGCCCACCTTCGCACTAAATATCTAAACGATTTTTGCATGTTATTTTCCGATGAAACTTCTTCGTATTTGACTTTAGTAAGTATTCCACTTAGTATTTTCAAAAAGCGTTCCTAAAATTTTGGTGTTATATAACTATAATATTGTCAAGTTACCTTGTCACTTAACCTTGACAAGACATCGTTTTCATGCGGATTGGTACATGTGCGAAATTTCTTTAAGTTTATAAGTTGATTAATTTCAATAATTTTTTGTTCCTTTTACACAATTATGCACATGTGTTAACAACTAATAAGTATTATCCATGAAATTTCTTTTTACTTACCCTCATATATCTGCTCTCATTGAATTTAAAATAAATTGACATATCCGACAAAATGTTAAACATTGGATACCATGCTACAAAATCTGTATCCAACGTTAGATACTTAGTGATATTGGTGAAGATATAAGGGTCCAGCTGGCTAGTTATTGTGAAATAATACGCATCATTTAAGAGTTGAGCGCGGTTAATGGGAGGTATATGTGAGAAATTGTTCTTTTGCAAGTAAGACCATATCAGTAACCAATTTCTGTTGTCGTAGTTAACACGATAGAAGCCTGTCGTAAAATCGATTTTTTTAGATTATGTTATTATTATTTTTTGTTTTCATTATTTAGTAGATTATTATATTCTACCACATTGTTTTATTATTATTATTAAAGTATTGGAAACTTTTGATGGCACATATCAAGAAATATTTTAAAAAGATTATTCCATTTCTACTTTAAATATAAATGGATTTTGTGAAAAGCTTCAATATAAATAATTATATCTTTATGGGATTTATGGAACGACCGGAAATTTCAAAATGTAGAAAATATTTGATACAAGGCGTGTCCATGTGCAGACAGAGCACACTAAACTGAACGGAAAAATGTCCACTACTATTCTGTAAATAATGAAAGTTAACATGTTCCTTACCTTGCAGGTCACCGCAAAATTACTGATCAAGTTCGTTGATATTTTTACTTCGAAACAAAACGTTATTGTAATGTTATAATTGCTACAGTATACGTACTATTTAACAAGTAAAATGTGTCTTTTAATGTAACATTATTTGACGCCCATAAATCACGCGCGCCCGCACAACTTGTATGAAAAATATATTTAAGTGGTTCAATACAAAGCATATGTAAATAATAATTAGAATACATTGGAGAATGTTTACATTTTACGTGGTGAGATAAGCTCTATAAGAATATTTCATCGACATTATTATATGACTTTCCCATTCAGCTCGAACTGATCTACTTGCTTCTGAATTATTTGCCTTAAATTATCAGATGTCCTGATGTCTATACACAACACATACACTTAACGCACGCACACAACACACACACATATATACATATACTTGTCATGGAAGGACAACATAGTATATTAAATATATTGGTATATACTCTTACCCGTTTGTTCTGCATTGACTATGAGAAAATCATCACCACTTATGGCAGTAATATTTTTCACTTGACCCCATTTAAGCCAAAGAACCTCCGAGATATTATAGGAATCGTAACTAGATTCGATAATGTAATTAACAGGTATTATCCATTTGGGATTCCCTTCAATTGTACGCGCCATGTACGAAATACAAGCCGCACTCCATTTTTGATAATCACGTTGGATGAACATTTCGGGGTGATGTTTTGTCGTTAACCAGGTATTCATAATTTGTTTTACCGTAGAGTCGCTTTCGAATTTTAGAGAATGAGCTTCTTCCAATATAGTCCACACGTCATTTTCACTAACAAAGTATTAAACCCGACATATTCAAATATTTAATTTTTATGAAATAATAAAGAAAGATAAAGAAAGATTTCTTAATAAAGAAAGATGTATCAAAATTGTATTATTTAACTGACTATTTACTAACATTATTTGGCATATGTCCATGAAATTATATATTGTATAAAATTACAGTTAAAGTAATCAGTTTAGAACATAAAATGTTTCAATAAAATGTTTTATTTCTCGGAAATGCCTTGCGCAAATAATAACACGGAATATGAATATAATATACTGATAAAGAAAAACAAAGACTAAGTGCGTAAAGTTAGCATTAGACGGTATACGATTTCATGTACTCTGACATGCCTGTAAGCAATTGTTGCAAGCAGCATGCTGTGAGCAAATTAGTTTGTTTCATAGATTTTCCATTGTTCGGTAGGGAACTATCCAGAAAATTAAGGTTCTTATAATTTGCTTGCCTATGCGAGTATGGAATTTCGATATCGAGTGACGCTAGCTTTATATATGTTCAAGCGAATTCTCAAAAAAATATACATAAGATTACATAGTTATATTATTATCCGTTACTAACCGTGCGTGTACATAATTCCTAATAGCCTCTTTGAAAGTTTCGGGATTGTAAAGTTTGAACAGCATACGAATTAGAGCGAAAGCTATGTCAGTACAAATAACAAAACGTATATATAATTAAACAAGTTAAGCATAATCGACTCAACAAACAAAAATATTTATTCAATTCTGTTTCACCTTTCTTATGATAAAGGAGAGGATAAAGTAATCCATCAATTCCATCACTGTTCTTAGCCTTGTGTATAATAGCTTCTGTTTCTAAGAGCATGTCGTTATTTAAAGCAGGCTGGATAAATTTAACTACAAACAATTCCATTAATCTATCTGATGATTGTATCTGCAAAATAGATTGTCCCTCTCTATTGTTGTATCCATCAATGCAATCTCAAAGATAATGTTCGAATTAGCAAAATAAATAGGCGTTACATCGTCATTAATGTAACATGTTTCTAAATGTGTAATTTTTCTCAAGAGTTAACTGTATATATTAACAATGAAAGCTTATTTGCAATATGCTAATTCTAATAATATAAAGTAACCTTATCTATGATAAAATAGTTGTAAAATGATGCAAATATTTCGTTCAACCATATATAATCAATTCTTGATTGCGGACTGACAACACTGACGAACAACTGACGTGCCATTTCGTATGTTACTAACGTCATAACATCAAGAGACCGACCCGGAAAATTTAAAACTTCATCAAACGCAATATCTCTTTCCCTGTAAATTGAAAGAAAGTACATTTATCGAACGTCATTGCGATATTAATATATATAATTCGAGATATCTCTGCAAGCATATATGCTTTGTATATATTCTTTCTCTTCCTATATTTTCCACTCTTTTCTTTCTCTATTACTCGCTCTTTTTTTATTAGCTATAATTGCCTATTCCTAATATTATTTATGAAAAAATAATTTAACATAATCGTCTTCATCTTTTCTGCATAATAACGTTTTAAGAACGTTATATATCTATATATTGTATCCAATATAACACATATTAGTTATAAAAAAATATTAAAGAACTGTCGAAGTTTCAATATATTGTAACGCATGTGATATGAATACCTAAATATTCGATATGTGTGAATTAGGATGGTCCTTATTTTACTCTTGGTCAAAATTTTTTTTAGAATTTTTCCCGCGGCACTCTCCAAAATGTTTCCATTTGACAAAAAAAAAATCACTGCCAAACTTTTGCTCGATCGGATAACGAGAACCCGTGCCCCTGGATCGTTAAACATTGGAGTACCTTTGTATTAACAAATGGAAACCTTTTGGAGGGTGCCGCGGGAAAAATTCGAAAAAAAATGTTGACCAAGAGTAAAATAAGGAACACCCTAGTGTGCACTCTCGACATTTTAACGAATTTTTAGTGCGATTATGTACAAAATTCTCTAAACCGGTAATACGTTAGGCTTTCCTAAAATAATGGTTATTGATCGTCGCTAATAGAAACATACAGAAACTATATTTAATTTAATTGAATTTTGAAGAAAATTGAGAAAGTGGAATGAAGACAGAACTAGGATAACCTATTACGTAACAACTTGCCAATAATATTACATGTTAATAAATTTTCTTTCTATAACTTGATTATATTACATAAGTTCAAAAACATTTATCCGCGATAATCTCTGGCAATGTGTGCCAATTTACTCTATACAAAGAGTTTTAATATTACTGTTGCCTATTAACTGTATTGCAGTTCTATGTGCGACGTACTCAAATTGGGCTCAGATAAATAAATATTATCGAATTTCAGAGTGTTAAGTATTCCTTGTGATATTAATGGTTCACGCAACAACATTTTTAATATGGCATTTTTATTATGGCATACCTGTAAACAACAAGACCGGGTACACCCATTGACTTCATAGGACTATTTGGAAATACGACATGGTTAATTTTTGAAAAGAAGTAAGACGAGCCTAATTTCATAAACTGAGAAAAAAAGGATGTCACTCTTTGGGCCATTTCTAGTACGTGAGTGAATTTTTTATCCGCGTCTGTTTTGTGCCACATATAATGTATGTCGCGTCCTTCATAATCCTGGGCAATATCATTGACTATCAAAAATGCTATCATATGAGTAGGCATTGAGACAAATTCCTCATACTGCATAAATTTTACGCCAAATCGTGTAAGCATTGGAGCTTTTATAGAGAAAGAAGACTTTTCGGGTATGTTTGAAAGAACCGTGTAGTCTGCAGGAACCCGGATTGAGATGTTGTAGGTTGCTTTTACTCTCGGGTCGTCCCAGCATGGAAACAATGTTCGTATCGCGTTCGGTGAATAGAGATTCGTAAGCATCCAACTGTCATATTACAACAAAGAAAAATTATCTTATCTAAACTTATCGAAATATTCGGTAAAGATAAATTTTTTGTTATTTTACGACTGATCCAATTAGCGCAAGACTAATGTTGACGTGATGTTTTATATTAAATAAATGTTTATCATCTTTATGTACTTCATACAACGTTCTCAGCTTGTATTACTATACCGAAAAAATTCGTGGTATTATCAACAATAACTCTGAATATTAGATGAATGATATCCGTTTATTAATATTGTAGTAATCTTTCATTATATATAGGGTATCTCATAATTCACTATGTAGCCGTAGTGTATAGATCAGGAAAGATCAGGAAAATTTATGTACACGAGAGTTTAATATGTCATCATCATATCCCTCGTGTGTGTAAATCTAGAATTCAAAATATCTTATTTTTTACTTACTTTCGACTTTCATGAGTCTCTATAGCTGAATAAAAGATTTTCTTCATCCTTTTAGTGAAAACGGATCTGTAAGTTATTTTAAATTGATACATTCCTACATCTATCGTTTTGTCAAATTTCAGAATTAGAACCTCTTTTTTCGTACAAAACTGGAAGTCAGTCAGACTATAAGGTGCACCAAACGGATTATCCTTTAACAATAAGTCAAGCATCGTAATTTTTATATGGAAAGAAAAACTGCGGTAATTATCGACAAAAGTGATCTCACTCTAATGACGTTGACATTGACATATAAACCTTAGTTTCTATGTTTCTTTGGAGAGTAATATTTATATTATACGTAAATGTCAAAGTCAATGGGGCGAAGTACGTTTTTATTTACCGTTGCATCGTAATTATATGTCGGTTCTGCATGTAGAGTTATGTTGTTTGTTGATTTCGTGACCTTAATCAAAATATTCACGTAGCCTAACAATATTCTTTGATGTGGTTTTATTAGGATATTAACATCATATTTTATTGGCATTACTTCAGAGATGTATAAATTCTCAGGAACGAACGAACAATTTATTATATTCCTGGAATATAGTCCCTCAGCTATCGGGACGAGAAATTTCAAGACAACTCCAAGAAACAGTATCAACCTCATTTTTGTTCCCAAATATCTGCACAAAAATATTTATTCTCTATTTGAAAATAATACATACACACGAAAGATATCGTTCTCTAATTTTGAGTTTTAGTTAAGAAAAAAACAAAAAAAAAGAAAACGTTTGGAACATTGTGATGGCCGATATTTGTTAAAGGGAGGAATATATATATGTTTTATGATATATAATATATGTGTATATATATATATATATATATATATATACCAGGTGTAGAAGTATGAAACCGGAATTCCCCTATAAATGGTGCCAGCGTTCAGTTTAGTGACCGTAAGACCGCTACTGCCGCGCTATTATATTCTCCTAACAGCTGACGAATATTGTCAACAAACATAACCCCAACTTTCATTCTCTAGTATATTTTTGTATAACCTTAAACATGTCACGTTTCGAGCCTACTAACTATGATTTGCGGACAGCATTGATTTTCTGTTATCATTTAAAGAAAACTGCTGCAGAATCACATCGAATGCTTGTCGAAGCTTACGGTGAATATGCTCTTGGTAAATCTCAGTGTTTCGAGTGGTTTAAAAAATTCAAAAGTGGTGATTTTGACGTGAGGAACGAAGAACTATGAACTATGAACTATGAACTATGAACTGCTGAAACCTGGTCAAACCGTCAATACTAATCGCTACCAACAACAAATGATCGATTTAAATCGAACATTGACTAAAAAACGACCAGAATATGCAAAAAGGCAACACAATGTCATTTTGCTCCATGATAATGCCCCATCACATACAGCAAAACGGGTCAAGGAAACGATCGAGTCGTTCAGTTGGGAATTACTACCGCATGCGGCTTATTCTCCAGACTTGGCTCCGTCCGATTATCACCTGTTCGCATCGCTAGGACACGCTCTCGCTAACCAACGCTTCGATTCGTATGAAAATGTGGAAAAATGGCTAGATAACTGGTTCGCTTCAAAAGATGAAAAGTTTTTTTGGCACGGCATTCATAAACTGCCAGAGAGGTGGGAAAAATGTGTTCAAAACAGTGGAAATTATTTTGAATAAAGTATTATTTATCACTTTCGAACAACAGACGTCTTATTTGTATAAAAAAATTCCGGTTTCATACTTCTACACCTGGTATATATATTTACGATAGTTATCGCAGCCAAACAAATAATTTTCTTGCATTCTATTAATATTGCAAAGTCAATACTAAGTCAATTAAAAGCAAAACAATGTTATGTTTTTAAATGGACACCTTGAAAAATATTTTAGTAGCACAGAAAATGCGATAAAGTTAGATATATAATATAAGCATCCTGTCGATTGCATATTTTGTGATATGAGAAATAATAAAGTCTTAATTATTATCTATGTTATGTGTAATAAATATAATATCTCAAACGAAGCGCAATATTTTCTTTTGAGGAATAATCAAAAAATAACTAAAAAACATACGGAATGAGAATTAGTTCTTACTTTGAAAATATTAATTTTGAAGTTTTAATATTACTTACGCACAATAACAGTAACGTAGTTTATGTAATTATATTCACTTATATAGTAATATAGGGCATTTATTTGAGTTATCACATATGTATATTTCCAATGGATCGCTTGAAATAAACGATGATAACGGTATCTAATATATTTATATGTAAAAACTAAGATGGACAAACTATTGTCGTTATGTATAGGAAATGTCCTCTATCAGTAAGCACATGCGCGCATTCTACGAAACCAAAACATCTTGTTCGATATATGATTCGTTTCGGGAATTTTCAATGGTAAACATTCTTTTATACACATGAATTATCTAGACAATGTATGTAAAGAAAAAATATTTGAATAAAATGCATTTGACTAAGGCATATAACAATATTGACAGCAGCAATTGTAACAATTTTTAAAAAATTTGTCATAAATCTAATCTTCATTAAACTTTATTTTCTTTTGTTCTATAAGCTTTGTATATAAGCTTATATATAAGCTTGTATATAAGTTTGTATATAAGTTTGTTTCATTTTGTTTATTTCAAATATTAGTCTTTATCTGATACATATATATTACCCGATGCTCGTTTCTCCTTGATGAAGCGGGCTGAAATGTTCGCAAAACGTCGGAATCAAACAAAGTTGAATTCACGTGGCTCAAACCAAATTTAATATACATGGACACCACAAAAGCATAAAAAACCAAATATGTCATGCGTACTTTTTATATTAATATTTGTTATTATAAACGAAAGGATTGCACAATTGTTTTAAAAATTGTTCGTCATTTAGAAGTTATAACTTTCATGATAACGGCTGTTTTGCAGACGATTCTTGTAAGGATAAATGTTCGTAATGACACCTTCACGTATAAGATAACTTTTCTTATCAAATCTAAATAACATATAACAATGTCTTCCTTCTCATTTCACACAAATTTCCCTTAACGTATCTAATGAACGATTTTCATCTATCACGTAAGTAATAAAAGAGTAAGTTTTATTTTACGTCAGATATAAGTGTTATCTAAAATGTTTAGTGTTATAGGAAGCGCCAAGTAGGACATAGCTAATTTTACTATTTTTAATATTAAAAATTGTTTATCATTTTGGAAACGCATTTTTAATGATAACTGCAATTTTATGGTGATTATTTTGATTATTCTATAGAACATTTATTTACGGGAACATTCGATACGGGAAACTATAATGTCGATGTCTTTTAAATTTTTATATTTTCAGTCCGATTATTTGATTATTCGATTGAACTCTTGAAACTTGTCCTGCACTTTCATTAGATATCTTTTCCGGTATGTAATCAATTCGTTGATTGATTCCAGAAAATATGAAAAAAGTGATAAACCTTCCTATATGGCTTTTCCTGCAAGGTGCCACGTACGTCGAATTTGTTCTAGTAAATATTTTTCTAATAAGTAATGCCTTAGAAAGAATAATTTGAGAATGTCCTAATTTTTTCCTCCTCGGCAGATTACTTCAAACTACGTGCGATAACATTTCTGACATGTTTATATAAAAACTAAAATAGAGGTACTAAACTATTATTATATGTATATAAGAAATGTCATCTATTAGTAAACACGTATGCGCAATCTACGAAAATAATACATACGAAACATTTTTGCGATATACATTTCGTTTCGGGAAATTTGTACTTTCGCGGTAAACATTCTTTTATACACGTAAATTATCTAGATAATATGTACGAAGGAAAAAAATTTGTATAAAAATGCGATTGAATAACACATATAACAATATTGACAGCAGCCATTGTAACATTTTTTTAAAAATTTGTCATAATTTTAGTCTTTATTAAACTTTCTTATGTTTTTTATGAGTTTGTTTTATTCTGTTCACTTCAAGTATTGGTCTTTATCTGAAATAAATAAATATATATATATATATATATATATATATATATATATATATATATATATATATATATATATATATATCAAATATACTGATAGCCATAATGATAGCTATATTATTAGCCAGGTTTTATGTATATTTGAAAATATTTAATTATATTTGTAGATTTTGAAATGTTTGTATAGAATATATATAATGTTTCTAACATTACAGAAACGATACAATTCATGGAATAACAATAGCAGTAACAAAAAATGATTATAACATGTAGCTCTAATGTAACAAAAAAATATATTCGAAGACTAATCTCTTACTTTCTAATGTTCTCACTTTCTGCATAATATATACCCTTACTTCTTTTCTTTACAAATCTTTTCCAATATATCAAATGAAAAATAACTCCTATTTACACCGTGTTTGGCATAACGTATATCACTCATATGCAGGTAATATTTGTCAAACAAAGTGAAAAAATCTTATAGTTTCTAGTTAATAGTAACTTTCTAGTTAATAATATAATTCATTAGATGTTAATCATAGAAATTTGATAAATTTGTGCGTATAACGGCACAAACTCCTTGGCCGAATTTAACTCAAAATTTGAATGTTGATAATCTCCTGCCACGTCGGCAAGTGCATAATGCTAAAATAAATAAAGATTGTACACTCTTAATGTTGGAATACATTAGATGCACATATTTGCTAGTTTTATTATAATTAGTTTCTTAAGAAATCATCATAAGTTTTATAAGAATCATTATAGCGTTTGAACAAATAATATGAGACTTTGTTGTTCAGAGTTTACGACGAATAATTCTATCTGCACACGAATAATAATAATACGTGTTGCGTGAAACAAAGTGTACATATACAAATATACATATACAATACATATATATATATACAAATATAAATATAAATATACATATGTATGTCACATGTACTTTGTATATTAATACTTGCTATTATAAAAGAAAGGATTGCACAATTACTTTAAAAATTGTTCGTTATTTAGAAGATATAACTTTCACGATAACTGTTGTTTTACAGAGATTATTCTAAGGATAAATGTTTGCGATGATGCACTTGATATACGTATAGAATAATTTTCGATATCAAATCTAAATAATGTATGACAATATCGTCCTTCTCAGAACAAGTAAAATAACTTAAATGTTATTTATTTTGACATTCAATTTCCTATCAAAGGATAGGCTGCTAAGTTCTTAAGTTCACCTACGATCAAAGCGATTGCCATTAAAAAATATTCTGAGATACTGCAATTAATGCCAACTAGGAACAAGGATAATGCCAGTAAGAACAAGGAGATCTAAGAGCTACTGCAGAAAAATTTATTAAATAATAATAACAAAAAAACAATTTCAGTTCAACGTACATACATAATTCTACAGTTACAAAGCACGTATGTACCAGTCTGTTTTAAAATAATTCTCATTTATTCGTTAATATATCTACACACTTCAAATAAGTTCCCCTGAACGTATCTAATGAACGATTTTCTTCCATCACAATAAAAGAGTAAATCTTATTTTACATCAGATATAGGTTTTATCTAAATGTTTAATGTTATAAGAAGCCAAGGGTCACATATCATATTTTATTATTCTTAATATTAGAAATTGTTTATTACGTTGGACACGCATTTTTAATGATAACTGCAATTGCATAGTGATTATTTTGATTGTTATTGTGATTAGAATATTGATTTGATCCGGAAAACAATAATGACGACGTTTTTTAAACATTTCCGATTATTCAATTACTCAATTAAACTCTTGAAACTTGTCCTTCACTTTTATTAGATATCTTTTTCGGTATGTAATTAATTTGTTGATTGATTCCAGAAGATTTATAAATACCTGAAAACCTTCCTTAGCTGGAGAGTATAACCACTCAGCATGTTCTTTTATCTGTAACAGTTAATTCAGTACTTAAGATGTTACAACTCTGTCGACATGACAATTGCAGCTCAACACAAAAATTTATTTTTAATATATAAAATAACGTAATATACACAATGTGCACAGAGTAGCATAAAGTGCTTAAATAGAATTATATTTGTGAATAATAAACAACTTAAGAGATTTTAATTTATAAAATTTACCATGTCGAGGTCCTTTAATGAGTAAACATTCATAATCATATCATGTAATAAAGTGGCAGCAGGGAAATCAAACCTGCAAAATTACAAGAAGTCAGATTTAACTTTAGTAGATACTGTTACATTTCCTTAAGAAAAGCAACTCCGTCACGAAAAATAATACCTGATTACAATTGCACTATAATTATCGATCACGTAACGTAACACCATATTTCTGCTAATATGATTTTTCACAATTTTACGACATATTGGTCTCATAAATAGATCTGTTTTCGAGAAATAACCCGGCTGTAGCATTAATCGTAAGTAATGCACGATAATCGCACTATTTTCAGTACATGACAAATATTCCAGAAGCATCTTGTTATTATAATTTATAGCTTTATCTAAAATATTGTCCCATACATTTAAATCTATTGTCTTCAACCCATCACAAATTATCCATTCTTTCAACATTGCCGGAATTCTGAAATATATGAAAAAAAATGAATATTTATGTGAGTATAAGGAAAATTTAGCATTTGAATATTTCTTATTCGTTTAGCGAAAAACTTATATCAAATACTACAGTTTGGCCACATACTTCATAAAATGTATTGAGAGTATATGTGTGGATGATGATAATTACCTGTCCAATTCATCACGATGATTTATATAGATCATCAAACGATCTAAAGCGGCATTTCGACATACTGAGTGACCAAGTTTGCAGGCCCACTTTCGTACTAAAAGTCTCAATGATTTTGTCATTTTACCATCCTGTATAATGTTTTCGTATCCTATTTTGTTAAGTACTCCATCCAGAAGTCCCAAAAAGTGTTCCTAAATATTTACGTTATATAACGTTAATACTGTCATGTCATCTTTTTACTTAAGAAAGCGTCATTTTTGTGTAGATTGGTACAACATGCGCAAAACTCTTTTAGATTTACAATGTGATTAATTTGTTATATCATAACATTGTATTCCTTTTAGACAGCAGTCTACATGTCCTAACGTCTGATAAACGTTACCCATAAAATTTCTTTTACTCACCTTGATATGATTACTCTCAGGGAATTTAAAGTAAGATGACATATCTAACAAAATGTTAAACATAGGATACCATGCTATAAAATCTGTGTCCTTCTTTAAATGCTTAGTGAGTTCGATGAAGGTAGAACCTTTGAGTTTCCTTATTGTTGCGAAATAGTACGCATCATTTACCAGTTGAGCGCGAGTAATGGGAGATATGTTTGAGGTATTATTTTGCATGTAAGTTGATATCAGTATCCAGTTTTTGTCATCGTAGTTAACACGATAATAACCTGTAAAAAGGGAAATTTTATTAGATTATTTTATCATTATTTTATTATTATTTTCTACTTTTATGACTCTAACATTTATTAGATCATTACATTTTATTAGATTATTTTAGTGTTGTTATTAACGTGTTAAATACTTTGAATTACATATATCGAGAAATATTTTATTAGGATTATTCCACTTCTACCTCAAATATACATTTTATTAGGATTATTCCACTTCTACCTCAAATATACATGGGTGAAAAGTTTCAATAGAAATGATTATATCTTAATGGGATTTATGGAACGATCGGAAATTTTTAAATATACAAAATGTTTGGTACAAGGTGCGTTTAAGAGATGAGCAAGAAAAGCACATTAAACTGAATAGGAGAATTTCCTGTACTATTCCACAAATAGGGAATGTTAACATGATTATTGCGTCGTAGATCACTGTAAAATTACTGATCAAGCCGATAGTTATTTTCACTTTAAATCAAAACGTCACGGTGAAATATTTTTGTAATTGCTTCGGCACAAGTTATTTAACTAATAAAATGTGTTTCTTAATGTAACATTGTTGGACGCCGATAACGCGCGCGCGCAACAACGTGTATGGGAATCATGCTTAAGTGGTTCGATGCAAAGCATATGTAAATAACAATTAGAATGCATTTGAGAATGACTAAATTTTACGCGGTGAGATAAGATTTATAGGGATGTTTGAAGGACATTTAATACATAATTTTCCTGTTTAACTTGAACTGCTTTACATGCATCTAAACATTTTGGTTGAATTTTCAGATAACCTAATGTTTATATGTATGTCTATATATATGTACATATGTGTGCCTACAAGGTATTCCATTTTAAATGATGCATTAACATTTCTTAAAACTCAAAGCATCCATAGAAAAATATTTCAAACAAAATTTACATTGTTTTAAGGGGAATGTATTATTGTATCACTTACTTGACCTTCAGTGACCTCGTTAGAGTCACGTCAAAGTCAATTTGATATTTCTAAAAATTGTCATCTGACTTTTCCAATATAAATTATTTTCTTCAATCATTCTGCGTATCATTCTTTCTCATTCTGCGTCTAAAAGTAGTAGACGAGATATTTTATTTTTTGTACTTAAAAGTAGAAGAATAAAATGTAAAACATTTCAGGAATCATTCATTTTTTTTAAATTGAAAAAATGAATGATTTCTGAAATGTTTTACGTTTTATCCTTCTACTTTTAAGTATAAAAAATATAATATTTCATAAATTTTTTTTTGATAAGCACATCGTAATATTTTCATACACAGAATAACAGACAACAATGATTATTTTGAGAGAAATGTAGAAAAACTCAAACAAAATTTTGCTGCACTCTACAAATTTGTTAATGTACTAGAGTATAAAAATTAATATCGCCGATCAATTTTTATCATTATTTTACGTACGAAGTATAAGAGTGAAATTATCGAGAAATGAATAGTTTACTAGATATTTTATATTTTGTATTTGAACTTATAAAAATAAAATACAAAGTACCTTAGAAAGTATTTTCGACGACTCACCTTTGGTACTTTTGTATGCAGAATAATCGGAGGTCATAATCGATTTATATATTAATTTGTATTAAACATCTATGTAATATTGCTTAAAAATATCAAGTTGACCTTTACGTGTTTATAATAAAGTCATTGAAGGTTAAGCGAATAAGGCATCCCCTTTAAAACGCTATAAATTTTGTTCGACATACTTTTTGGATAGAACACTTAATTTTTGAGGAACCCTATTACATTATTTAAAATTGGGCACCTTGTATAGAATCGTCATAAAAGGAATAACATAGTACAGTAAATATATATGTGCAGTTACCTGTTTGTTCTGGATTAACTATGACGAAATAATCTGTAGGACTATACGATTTATCATACCCTGACTTTACGGTAGTATTCACGTATGTCGAATCAAGCCAAAAAACATCCGAGTCATTGTAAGAATTGTAAGTAAATTGCGTAATGTAATTGACAGGTACTATCCATTCACTATTGTCAACCCATTCATATAATGAATAAACAGATATAGTTCGCTGTTCGCTATATCTACGTAGGATCATTAGCTCGGGGTGGTGTTTTATTGTTAACCATGTATTCATTATTTCTTTTATCCTATAGCGGCTTCTGTTTTGTAGATAATAATCTTCCAATATAGTCCATATATCCTTTGTACTAACAATATAACAAACACGGCATTTTTAAATATTTGACGTTTAGAGTTCGCTTTTATACACACGTACACACACACACACACATAAAAACACACACACACACACACACACACACACACATATATGTATATATGTATGTATAAATGATATTTAAGCAGGGCGTATCAAAACCATATCCTTTAACTATTTAACTATTGATATCATTTAGTATATGTTCATGAAACAATGACTATTACGGCATCATAACTGCATATACCTAATCAGTTTAGGATATGCTGCCATGAAATGCTTGCATTTTTGGATGTGTCTCATATAAACAATAACTGAGGATATAAACATAATATTCTGGCAAATAAACGAACCACGACTGAGTGAGTAACGTTAAACGATGTATAATTTCATACGTGTGCTTGGCACGATGTAAGCAACTCTGTCAGTCTGTTGTATAAATTTCAAAATGCACTACAGAGAGTTCAGCAAATTCAGTTTCTTATAGCATGTCCGTCTATGTGCATGTCAGAAAGCATGAAATTGGATGTTGGGTAACGCTAACTTCATAAAAATTTAATGGAAATGAAATATAAGATCAGAAGGTTATATTTCTATCACTTACTAACCGTTCGTGTACATATCTCCTGATGGCTTCGTTGAAAACATCGCGATTGTAAAGTTGCAGTAGCATGCGAATCAGAGCGAATGCTATGTTGTTGTAAATGTTGAAACATATAATATTAAATAAGTTACGAATAATCAGAAAAATATATTTATTATATATTTATTCAACCTCACCTTTCTTATGATAGAGGAGAGGATAAAGTAATCCATCAATTCCATCACTATTCTTAGACTTGCTTATAATAGGTTCACTTTCTAAGAGCATGTCGATATTTAGAGTGGGCTGAATAATTTTAACCACAAACAGTTCCATTAATCGATGTGATGACCATACCTGGAAACAACGAGTTGTAGCAATCTGTTTATCATAATTTATTACAATACCAAAAAAATGTTTTAATTAACAGAATAAATAAGTGTAATTTTGTTCTTAATATGATACGTTTCTAAGTGTTTAGATGTATTCAAGAATTAACTATTAACAACGAAACTTTATTTGCAATTTACTAATGCTAATGATAAAATGTAACCTGGTCCATGATGTAATAGCCGCAGAATGATGCAAATATTTCGTTCAACCATACATAATCATTTCCTAATTGCGGACTGACAACACCAATAAATAATTGACGTGCCATTTCGTATGATACTAACGTTATAACATCAACAAACTGACCCGGAAAATCTAAAATTTCATCGAACGTAATGTCTTTTTCCCTGTAAATGGAAAGAAAATTAATTTATTGAACGTTATTATCACATTAATGTGTATAATTCAAAATATCTCCGAACAAACATCTTCTTCGTATATGTCCTTTCTTTTCCTATTCTCTACTCTTTTCTTATTTTATTACTTCCACTTTTTTGTTAATTATAACTGTCTATTCCTAATATTATTTGTGAAAAAATAATTAAAAATACAACATAATTGTCTCCATTTTTTTGCGCAATAACATTCTAAAAACATCATATGTCCACATATTATGTTAAATATGATATTCTACTGGTGAAAAAATAATAGAGAACTGTCGAAGTTTTAGTATATTGTAACGCATGTGATGCGAAAAGAAATTCGACGTATGTATTCTCAATACTTTAAAATTTTTTAATGCAATGATATGCAAATTTCTCTAAGCCGGTAATATATTAGACTTTTCGTACACTGTGAGAAAAATTACCTTAAAATCAATAAATATTTCTTTGATGGGTGCCATTATTTATTTAAATCTAAATTCTCTTTATTTAAACCAATATTGTTTACTTAAATCAGGTAGACAATATTTGTTTTAAATAAAAAGAATTTAGATTTAAGTGAATATGTTAATGGCACCTATTAAAGAAATATTTAATGATTTTAAGATAATTTTCCCTCAGCGTATATAATGGCTATTAATCATCACTAATAGGAACATAATAAGAGATATTTAGTCAAATTGAAATTTTTGGGAAATAATTGATAAAGTAAAATTCGAACAGTTAGAATAACCTGTTATATATTATCTTGCCAATAATATATTATATAATGATAAACTGTCTATAATTTGGTTATATTACATGACTTAAAAACATTTACAAATATAAGGATTTGTGGCAATGTTTGCCAATTTGCTCCATACAAGGAATTTTAATATTAATGTTGTCTATTAACAGTATTGCGCGTCTATGTACGATGTATTCAACTTGGGCACAAATAAATACGTGTTATCGAATTTCAGTGTATTAAGTATTCCTTGTGATGTTAACGTAGCAATATTTTTAAGATGATTATTACATACCTGTAAACAACAAGACCGGGTGCACCTGTTGACTTCATAGGACTATTTGGAAGTACGACATGGTTAATTTCTGGAGAGAGGTTCGACGTGTCTATTTTCATAGAGTTAAAAAAAAAAGATGTCACCATTTTTGCCTTTTCTAGTACGTAAGTGAATTCCTTATCCGCATCTATTTTGCGCCACATATAATGTATGTCTCTGTTTTCATATTCCCTCACAATATCATTGATTATCAAAAATCCTATTAGATGAGTAGGCTTCGAAACAAATTTTTGGTACTTTATCAATCTTCTGCCAAATTTTAGCGTAAACAATGGACGATGTATAAAGGAAGAAGACTGTTTGGGTATGCTTGAAAGAACCTCGTAATTTGCAGGAACCTGGATTGAGATGTTGTAAGTTGCTTTTACCCTCGGATCGTCCCAGCATGGAAATAATACTCGTATCGTGTTTGGTGTGTAGAGATTCGTGAGCATCCAACTGTCATATTGCAACAAAAATTGTTTAATAAGGATAAATATTTTGCTGTTTTAAGACTGATCTAGTTAGCTCAATATTGATATAGTCTTTCGTATTAAATAAGTGTTTTTATTATCTTTATGCACTTAATACTTTGTATAACGTTTTTAGCTTAGTATTATGCCGAAAAGATTTTTAGTATTAACTATAATTTTGAACTTTAGATATATAATATCTGTTTATTAATATCGTAGTTGTTTTTCATTATATACAGATATCTGACAATTCGCTATGCAGCCGTAAACAAGTAAATCGGTCACGTCAAAATAAAAGTTTATGCACGAAAATTTAATATATTATTGTCAGACACCTCGTACATATAAACCTGTAATTCAAAATACGTTATCCTTTACTTACTTTTGATTATTCCAAGTAGGATAAAATATTTCCTCGACATGTTTATTTAAAACGGATCTGTAAGCTATTTCAAAATTATATTTTCCTTTATCTAGCATTTTGTCAAACTGTAAAATTAAGATTTCTTTCTTCTCACAAAATTGGAAGTCGGTCACTTTATAAGATGCACTATCTTGTTCATCCTTTAACAATGAATTAACCATAATAATTTTGATACACAAGACGTGAAAAGAAACTACGGTAAATATTAGCAAAAAGGGATCCTGTTTTAATGACATTAACGTTGACATATAAAATATTTGGCATATCGCTTTGGAGGATTTTTATTTATATCAAACATAAATCAAAGTCATTGGGGCGAAGTATATTTTGGTTTACCTCTATTCCGTAACCGTATCTCGATTTTGCATGTAGGATTATGTCCTTTATTGGTTTCTTGACTTCAATCAATATATTCGTGTACCCTAACAACATTCTTTGTTGTGGTCTTATTTTAATATGAACATCATATCTTATTGGCATTACTTCAAAGATGTTTAAATTTTCAGAAACGAGCAAACATTTTGTTATATTCCTGGCGTATATTTTACTAGCTATCGGGACAATAAATTTCAGAACGATTCCAAAAAATAATATCAATTTCATTTTTGCCCCTATATATCTGCAAAAAAATATTTATCCCTTATATAAATAGAATGATACATACACAAAAAATACACGTGTCACCATCGTTCCGTAATTCTGTATTTTGCACGACAAAGAAGCAAGAAAAAAGAAAAGCATTGGGAGCATTGCGATAGTGAACGTCTAAAGGGAAAAATAATATATATATATATATATATATATATATATATATATATATTTTATGACTTAATATGTATATACATATTTCTAATAAGTGTATTTCCTAATATGCTCACTCTTAATTTTTGAATAATTAAAAAATATGCGTGATGTCTGTTTCTTGAAAGTATACTATTAATATTAAAACTTACTGTGTAATCTATTTTCACAAAATAACGCATATAGTTTTTTCTGCAAGGTGCCTAATTGCCGAAAATTTGCACTAGTAAATTTTTTTTTGCAATAATTATTGCCTTAAAAAGAATAATTTGTGAATATTGTATCTTTTTCTCTCTCGACGGATCGTTTAAAACAAACGACGATAACAGTATCTGATATATTTATATGTAAAAACTAAAGTAAAGACACTAAACTATTGTCGTTATACGTAAGAAATGTCGTCCATCAGTAAACATGTACGCGCAACCTACGAAAGTAATACATACAAAACATCTTCTCCGATAAACGATTCGTCTCAGGAAATTTGTGTTTTCGACGGTAAACATTCTTTCTTGGACGTGAATTATATAGATAACGTATATAAAAAAAAATATTTAAATAAAATGCGATGACTAATGCAATTAAGAATTTTGACACCACAGTAGTTTTAACAATTTTTTAAAAATTTGTCATAATTTTAACCTTCGTTAAGCTTTAATTTCTTTTATTTCCTATAAGCTTGTTTCATTCTGTTCATTTCAAATATTAGTCTTTATCAAATGTATTATGTAGATATCTATCCCTCAAATATACGATCATAATAGCCAGATTATCAGCCAAGTTTTGTATATATTTGAAAATATTTATACATATTTTTAGATTGTAAAATACTTATGCAGAATATATAATATGTTTGTGAAATTACAGAAAAGATGTAATTTATGGAATAATAATAACAGTAACGAAAAAATGATTATAGCAAGTAGCTCTATAGTAACAAAACAGTACATCGATAATAATTTCTTGCTTTCTAACCTTCTCACTTTTTCCATAATATATATCCTTACTTTTTTTTGTAAGTATTTTCCAATATGTCAAATAAAGAACAACTTGTATTTATAGCGTGTTTGGCATAACGTGTGCATCTATTTATATGCTGGTAAAATTGGTCAAACCGAGTGAAAAAATCCTATATAATTTTCCAAACGGCTATCCTCAGTTTTAGATGTTAATTATAAAAAATTTAGCAAAATTGACCGAATTTAATTCGAGATTTGAATGTTGGTAATCTTTTGGCACGTCGGGTAGTGCATAATGCTAAAAGAAATAAAGATTGCAATCTTTTAATGGTGGAATGCATTAGGCGTACATATTTACTAGTTTTATTTTAATTAATTTCTTAAAAATCATTATAGTGTTTGGAAAAATAATATGAGAAATCTTCGAACAGATTTTATGACGAATTCTATCTGCACACGAATAAACATACGTGTTGCGTGAAACATGTTCTACATATACAAATGTATATTATATGTATTTTGCATATAAATATTTGTTATTATAAAGAGAAGGATCGCAATTGTTTTAGAAATTGTGTCATTTAGAAAATATATCTTTCATGACAATTGCTATTTAGCAAACGATTATTCTAAAAATAAATGTTTGCAATGCAAACATAAGAATAAATATGTGCTCCACGAATATGTTAGTTTTTGTTATCAAATCTAAATAATGTATAATAATATCTTTCTTTTCAAAACAAGCCATGTAATTTAAAAGTTATTTATTTTGGCAATCAATTCTCTCACGAAAAACGGGCTGCCAAATTCTTAAGTTCACCTACGATAAAGGCGGTCACCAAACATGAGATGATAAAATATTCTAAGACACTGCAAGTAATGCCAACTAGGGACAAGGATAATGCCAAGAAGATCAAGGACAACTAAAAGCTGCTGCAGAAATTAAATTTATTAAATAATAATAACAAAGAACAATTTCAGTTCAATGTACATACATAGTTCTACAGTTACAACGCACGTATGTACCAGTTAGTTTTAAAATAATTCTCATTTATTCGTTAATATATCTACTCACTTCAAATATGTTCCCCTGAACGTATCTAATAAACGATTTTCTTCCATCACAATAAAAGAGTAAATCTTATTTTACATCAGATATAGATTTTATCTAAATGTTTAATGTTATAAGAAGCCAAGTATCACATATCATATTTTACTATTCTTAATATTAGAAATTGTTTACTACGTTGGATACGCATTCTTAATAATAACTGCAATTGCATAGTGATTATTTTGATTGTTATATAGAATATTGATCTGATCCGGAAGACTATAATGTTGATGTTTTTTAAACATTTCCGATTATTCGATTACTCGATTAAACTCTTGAAACTTATCCTCCACTTTTATTAGATATCTTTTTCGGTATGTAATTAATTTGTTGATTGATTCCAGAAGATTTATAAATACTGAAAAACCTTCCTTAGCTGGAGAGTATAACCACTCAGCATGTCCTTTTATCTGTAACAGTTAATTCGGTACTTAAGGTGTTACAACTCTGTCGACATGACAATTGCAGCTCAACACAAAAATTTATTTTTAATATATAAAATAACGTAATATACACAGAGTAGCATAAAGTGCTTAAATAGAATTATATTTGTGAATAATAAACAACTTAAGAGATTTTAATTTATAAAATTTACCATGTCGAGGTCATTTAATGAGTAAACATTCATAATCATGTCATGTAATAAAGTGGCAGCAGGGAAATCAAACCTGCAAAATTACAAGAAGTCAGATTTAACTTTAGTAGATACTGTTACATTTCCTTAAGAAAAGCAACCCCGTCACGAAAAATAATACCTGATTACAATTCCACTATAATTATCGATCACGTAACGTAACACCATATTTTTGCTAATATGATTTTTCACAATTTTACGACATATTGGTCTCATAGATTGATCTGTTTTCGAGAAATAACCCGGCTGTAGCATTAATTGTAAGTAATACACGATAATCGCACTATTTTCAGTACATGACAAATATTCCAGAAGCATCCTGTTATTATAATTTATAGCTTTATCTAAAATATTTTTCCATACATTTAAATCTACTGTCTTCAACCCATCACAAATGATCCATTCTTTCAACATTGCCGGAATTCTGTGAAATATATGAAAAAAAATGAATATTTATGTGAGTATAAGGAAAATTTAGCATTTGAGTATTCCTTATTCACGTTTAGCGAAAAACTTATATCAAATACTACAGTTTGGCCACATACTTCATAAAATGTATTGAGAGTATATGTGTGGATGATGATAATTACCTGTTCAATTCATCACGATGATTTATATAAATCATCAAACGATCTAAAGCGGCATTTCGACATACTGAGTGACCAAGTTTGCAGGCCCACCTTCGTACTAAAAGTCTCAACGATTTTGTCATTTTATCATCCTCTATATCGTCTTCGTATCCTATTTTGTTAAGTACTCCATCCAGAAGTCCCAAAAAATGTTCCTAAATATTTACGTTATATAACGTAAATATGTAATACTGTCATGTTATCTTTTACTTAAGAAAGCGTCGTTTTTGTGTAGATTGGTACAACATGTGCAAAACTCTTTTAGATTTACAATGTGATTAATTTGTTATATCATAACATTGTATTTCTTTTAGACAGCCGTCTACATGTCCTAACGTCTGATAAACGTTACCCATAAAATTTCTTTTACTCACCTTGATATGATTACTCTCAGGGAATTTAAAGTAAGATGACATATCTAACAAAATGTTAAACATAGGATACCATGCTATAAAATCTGTGTCCTTCTTTAAATGCTTAGTGAGTTCGATGAAGGTAGAACCTTTGAGTTTCCTTATTGTTGCGAAATAGTACGCATCATTTACCAGTTGAGCGCGAGTAATGGGAGATATGTTTGAGGTATTATTTTGCATGTAAGTTGATATCAGTATCCAGTTTTTGTCATCGTAATTAACACGATAGTAACCTGTAAAAAGAGAAATTTTATTAGATTATTTTATCATTATTTTATTATTATTTTCTACTTTTATGACTCTAACATTTATTAGATCATTACATTTTATTAGATTATTTTAGTGTTGTTATTAACGTGTTAAATACTTTGAATTGCATATATCGAGAAATATTTTATTAGGATTATTCCACTTCTACCTGAAATATACATTTTATTAAGATTATTCCACTTCTACCTCAAATATACATGGGTGAAAAGCTTCAATAGAAATGATTATATCTTAATGGGATTTATGGAACGATCGGGAATTTTTAAATATACAAAATGTTTGGTGCAAGGTACGTTTAAGAGATGAACAAGAAAAGCACATTAAACTGAATAGGAGAATTTCCTGTACTATTCCACAAATAGGGAATGTTAATATGATTATTGCGTCGTAGGTCACTGTAAAATTACTGATCAAGCCGATAGTTATTTTCACTTTAAATCAAAACGTCACGGTGAAGTATTTTTGTAATTACTTCGGTACAAGTTATTTAACTAATAAAATGTGTTTTTTAATGTAACATTGTTGGACGCCGATAACGCGCGCGCGCAACAACGTGTATGGGAATCATGCTTAAGTGGTTCGATGCAAAGCATATGTAAATAACAATTAGAATGCATTTGAGAATGATTAAATTTTGCGCGGTGAGATAAACTTTATAGGGATGTTTGAAGGACATTTAATACATAACTTTCCTGTTTAGCTTGAACTGCTCTACATGCATTTAAACATTTTGCTTTAAATTTTCAGATAACCTAATGTTTATATGTTTGTCTATATATATGTACATATGTGTGCCTAGAAGGTATTCCATTTTAAATGATGCATTAATATTTCTTAAAACTCAAAGCTTCCATAGAAAAATATTTCAAACAAAATTTACATTGTTTTAAGAGGAATGTATTATTGTATCACTTACTTGACCTTCAGTGACCCAGTTAGAGTCACGTCAAAGTCAATTTGATATTTCTAAAAATTGTCATCTGACTTTTCCAATATAAATTAATTCCTTCAATCATTCTGCGTATCATTCTTTCATTCTGCGTCTAAAAGTAGACGAGATATTTTATTTTTTGTACTTAAAAGTAGAAGAATAAAACGTAAAACATTTCAGAAATCATTCATTTTTTTAAATTGAAAAAATGAATGATTTCTGAAATGTTTTACGTTTTATCCTTCCACTTTTAAGTATAAAAAATAAAATATTTCATAAATTCTTTTTTTGATAAGCACATCGTAATATTTTCATACACGGAATAACAGACGACAATGTCGTTGTTTTGAGAGAAATGTAGAAAAACTCAAACAAAATTTTGTTGC